ACATCTGTGAGTGTGTGTGTGTGTGTGTGTGTGTGCATCTGTGCCAGTGATTTCCAGTACTTTGTGTGTGTGTGTGTGTATGTGTGTGTGGGTGTCTTTGTATATGTGCCAAACCGGTCCAGCTGGCATCAGTCGTAGCTGAAGCCGAGGCCGCTGTATCGGTCACACACACACACACACACTCAAACACACACATACATAGTCGACCACATTCCCATTCTGTACGCCTGTAATTATCAACCTCTTCTGCATCGACTACCATGTTGGCGTGTATTCAGCGCTGGTCTATACACGCCTGATTCAAACCCTTCACCGTGTACACGCTTCATTTTCCTCCACACACGCTCGCTATAAAACCCCTCCATTTCATCTCGTACGGCTGCACCGACCGCAGAATGTAATTACACACTAACCGTGGTTTGATATTTAGACTGGCTGAAGATTTAAGGTTTTATCCAAGAAGAAGGTCTGTGTGGTAAAAATAGGCTCGAAGTGGTCCCGTGGCTCGGAGGAGAGGAAAGCCTGTTCAGAAGCTGGAGAGGAAATTAGCTTTGTTGTCTACACGCCGCAGCGGTCGGTACATTTTTCAAAAATTCATCAGACACCTTTTTCACAGCCAGACACGCTCGGTTTGTGTATTAAAATGATGGCGGGTTACCTGCCAAAGAGGCTTCACCTTCCTGTCATGCACTGATCAATCCTTGGCCCGCATTTTAAGCTATGATGTCTGATTTTAATCAAACACACGTTTAAACATGTTTGACCAAAGATGATCTATAAAGACAGTAGGTGAAGATGTCTGTGCTCCATAAATGTAGAGTGATGTAAGGTAAGACTCAAGAAAATTACAAAGTAGAGACGGACAACCTGATAAAAAACTATAGTGTATATATATACGTAAAGTCAGAGAAAAACTGTACGAGAGTGCAGAGAGCATCTGTTGTTCCTGTACGGAACCGGCACCTGTCAAGGGGAAAAGTGGTGGCTTAAAATTGTCTGCTTACAAAATGCACTCTTTAGGGGGTCTGAGCAGAGAGTTTAACTTTCCACAGAAGTCACTCAATCAAATATTTGGACACATTTCATGTAGAGGTGACTCTTGAAATACTACTGAAATTCACCACAAATGCTGCAGGTGCACCAAAAAGCACAACTGCATGCTGAAACTTGAGCTGAAACTCCAAGTTTAATTTAGCCTCATGGTATTGCTAGATGGTTGCAACCACAAGGGTGTTAACACGTGATGCTATGGTGTTACCATGCAGTTTAAGGTTGATACACAACGTGAGACAGTATTTATTTGTCAGCCGTCACAGATTTTGCAGCATTGTGTGCCTACCTTAAAACCAAGATGGCCTTGCAACCCCACATGAAGTTTTGGCCGTAGTATATGGACTTCCTGTAATGAAGTAGAAAAACATTTGTGTCCATCAGATCAGGTTTATTGCAACGTACCTTTATACATATAAGGAATTTACGTTGGTAGTTTAGTGTTCAACAATTAACATTGTACGAGAAGATAAAGAGGAAAAAATGGAATTACTGTGACGTCAAGAAACATCAATGCAAAAAGGGAAAAATGTACAAGAAAAAATATTTTATTCAAAAAGTACAATATATTAGTTTTAAAGCTGAAGGTGCATAATATTGTCCAAGGAATGTACAATAGTTCACAGTATGAAGTGCAAAGAATATTTTCAACGTGCAAAGATAAAAATCCAGAAGGTGTGTGTTAGTGTGATGCACTGAGACAGATGAGGAGACGTTAACATTACATGTAGTGTCTGTGGGGGGGCGTAAAAGTCTGTGAGGCCAACTCGTGTCAATAGCATGCACATTACTTTTTGCGCAGTATCCCACAATGCAATGCATCCCATTTGATAGATGGGGAAACTGCAGTACAAGCAATGACGCAAAATGGTGATCATTGAAGACTAACTAAAATCTAGGTAATTCTTCAGTAGTGTCGGATGCCTGGAAAGTACACTAATGAGTCTCCATGGACCAACAGTTGTCCAATGGGAGAAAGAGCAGAACTATACCATAAATGGCGAACCTTTTGAAGGGTAGCACAGACATGACAGAGGTATCTTAATGTGAATCTTCTCCTAAGTTCTGCCTTAACACGTTTCATTACATCAACAGAGATTTGAGACATATCAAATGTCTTGGTTTCTAGATTGTAAATGCGACCGGTAAACCGTATGCCTTGTCTCATATTCAGTTTGTTTTGTCTCTAGACAAGTATGGATATGGTATAGGATGTATGCATTGCAGGCGCAGCAGATGTCCGTTTTGTTGTGCTGTGAGATCAGTGAGCAGATACAGAACACACACTGTGAAGACTGATCATGGAAATTGGCTTCGGCTGTTTTCTACTGAAACTCTTTTACTCACACTTTTACTAAAACTAATTAATTGTCAATGAATGAATCATCTTTTAAATGAATGAAAAGATTGACATATGCTTTACATGTTCAGAGAAAATGTATTCCCGGTGGGTAAACAAATCCATCCAAATTTATACTTTAACATCAAATTGTCATTTTAGTAGGAGTATCCACAATGAATGAATGACTCAATGAATGAATGAAATCAATAATTGATCATCGTGTTTATTTTAAATAGCCCCATTTTCCATTAACAGTGGACTAGATTGAACTTTTAGTAGTTATTGTCCTTAAATGAAAAATAAAATGATGGATAGATGGATTGACAAATAATTTAATTTCATTTAATTCATTAATACTCATGCTTCTGAATTGAGTGAACAAAGGAATAAATTCTTAGTTATATTGTCGTGTAGTTCGTTGACCCTGCTTTATGAAGGAATTAATAAATATTCTAACTTGTCTAAATAGTTATGGTGTTCTAACCCTAACTTTGTAATTCCATAGCTTTACAGACTGAGTTGTGAATGAATGGATGAATTCTGGTATGATATGGATTCGCCCTTGTTGAGATGACTGCCTCTGCTAACTGCCCCCTCTCTTCTCCTTTCGTCCTCCTGCAGGTAAAACAGAGAGGAGTTCGTACTCGTACGGCAGAGAGTCCAACCCACACTGCCACCAGGTCAGTCCCAATGTGCACGTCTTCTTTTATAAAAGCAGAGTGAGCATGTCACTTATCTTGTGTCCGAGCAGTAAACGCACTGAGGAAGACAGAGGTGTGAACGGTTGTGTAGAAGCAGTACAGTAGGAAACCATTATGCAGATATCTGGTTTGTGTTTACATTTCAATATGAAGCATATTATAGAGTAGTTTGTAGCTAATTGCTCACCTTATTCTTTTTGTAGCATGTAGCTTGTTAGCTTGAGAGTGGAACAGAGTGAGGCACTTCTGTTGATATAAATGTTTTACACACATAGGCCTGAAATACAATCACACACAGGGCTTATAAACATGCACATGTGGAGTTCCCCGTGAGCAGGTAGGGGTGTATTTCCCAGTGAAATGAAACAAGTGGGCTTGGTTAGTTACGAAGGGGATTTAGATCGAATCCTTACATTTGATTGGAACCTTGACAAGTGGGCATGGCCCTGAGAATATAGTCGAATGGCAACCTGGTATCACAAATGTCAAATACTGCTGTCTGACTAGTGGTCCTACACTTCAAAATGTGACTCACGTCAACTTCAGGTGATGTAGTACAGTGGTTCCCAACTGAGAAGGGGTCGCAAAAGCTTCACAGGGTGTCATGAGGCTTTCTTGAAGGGGTTAAAATGTACACAGTAAGGTCTTTGTCTCAGCCTTCCATTTGTTTCTGTGAACAAAACAAAATGATATTGTTTTTTTTAAAATTTAGATTATTACCTTAAAACTTTCAATAAAAGCAGGGTCCCAATTAGATGCCTTAGATGTCTCCTTTACAAGCCTGGTGTGGTTACACGTATTGACAAATAAACGCAGGTCTCCAAAAGAGGCCTGGTTTGAATTTTATAGAAATTATCTCGATCTTCTCAAAACCTACTGGGTTGCCGGGCTGAGTGGGCTTTAAGCAGTTTAGATCACCTACACAAATATAAATGTTGTTTTAAAATGTCATGTAAATGTGTCACTTAGTCAGAAGTTGTCAGTTTACTAAATGATAGAAAAGGGGTTCCTTAAAGAGAAAGGGAACCACTGACGTAGGGGATAAGGAGCAAGAGAGGCTCCATCTAAGGAAGAGGAAGAGTGGATGGATGGCTCAAACAAATACAGGACGCTGTTTGTGTCCGTGTGAAACCAAGAACAACAGTTTCTTTTAAGTAATGTATATAGATTATGTCAGATACGTAACGCATCTCACAACCTTTTCCTAAAGCTTTGTGCCTAAACTTAACTAAACGTTAACCATGCAAGCTTTATTTTGAAATTCTATCCGAAAGTTGCATATTTATTCTAAATGACACTAGAGGAATTCCTACAGCGTCATATTTTGATGTGCAGGGCCTCTGACCCAGCGGCAGCATTTGACGACTTGGGAGTGAGAACGTGTTGGATACGGAGCTCTAGTGAGTTTTGGAGTTGTTGATGACTGTTGGTCTCCAGGTACACTCCTCTGAACTGATCAGTAGGAGCAGGATGTGAGAGAAATATATGACTTTCAGCACGCTCTTTTGGAAATAAATTTTTTTCCAAACGGACCTCCGAACACACATCTTCCATTGATCTGCTAGCTAGTACAAAGTACAAGCCAGTGGTCAAGTGTGGGATGGGGAGCCGCCTCAAATCCCATTTAATTGGTTTAAATGCATGTATACTTGATCATCAAAAATATATTAGAAAATAAATTATATAATATATATGTTTTTACAGGAAGAGAGATGGAAGGGATTTTTCTATTAAAATAATTCGTTTTTTACATATTTCCCACATAAGCAGAGACAGCTGTAAAGTGGTCTTTGACTTAGTTGCAGATATTGTTGCCGCAACTTTTACAGTGTCTTTATATCATGCAGGGAGCAACAACAACAGAAGATGTAGTTGTTTTATTATCGAGCATCATCAGTTATTTGAAGTTCAAAAGCTATAGAGTGCTCTCCGTTTCTTATGTGTCAGTCATCCTTACGACAACTAAAAACAACAGCTGTTGCATATTTTTTGTATTTTTATGTTTTCCAGAGAGATGTCTACCATCACCACATATTCCCAACTTCATAAACAAAGAATTATTCACTTTAAATTAAAATATTTTTCTTTTAAAAGCAACATTTGTTCATTGGCGGTGGCGCCAGGTGTTGCTCGGTTTTGAATCTGCACTGTAATCTTCCCGCTCAGTTCTCATGGACCATATGCATCCATGAGAAGATACTTGTAATAATTAAGAAAATATACAGATGTTGGTGTTTGATTCTGCGGCTGGAATATTAAACAGAGAGAGGATTGATGTGCTGGCTGTAATTTGATGACCACCTTCAGGTTTTTGAAATTAAATGATCACATATGCTCCGTTCGAGCGCAGGCTGTTGGACATGTTGACTGAATCTGATGTTATGGATTTATTTTTCTTTTAGTCTTGAACATCTATTAATTAAAGCTTATCAAAGAAGTGCATTTTCGTGTTTATAAAAATCAAAGTTGTGTTAAAACATGTTACAGATTATGATGAATATATTCAGGCGGTTACATTTACTTTTGGAAAACAAGATGTTTGGGTTTCAGTTTAGGGGAGTTATCATGTTATTCACCTGCTCAATAATTCAGATGTACAGACATTTCTGTACAATACACCTTTCAGTTGCAGCAAAACTTTGACCCTGTCATTTGGTTTTAGTCAAATACCAACACCAGACACCACAGTCCCTTTTCTGCATCAGTGACCTTACTGTTTGATTCCCGATCTCTATTCAACACTGTAGCTTGATAATAAATGATCTGATCTTGTCTTTGCATTTACATCTGGTGTTTTTAATGCATCCTTATTCTCATTGAGATCGAATCTCTCTCCATTAATGCAAGAACCTGTGCGTGAGTAAATTGAGGTGGTGGCAAATCAGCACCACACTCCATTAAAAAATCCTAAGTTTTGTGAGTTGTTGAGTTAGGGGAAACATTCTAAACTTTGTGAAAGGCTGTCTACGACGAAAGTAGTACTTATTAAGTTATTATTTTCTTTGTATAAAAGTGTCGTGTCAGTTTGTCCTGGTGTGTTGCAGTACCCGCGTATAGGCTACTCTGTGTCTAGATAAATGATATGCCTGACAGCAGATCAGCTGCACAGATGATTGCAACACAGACCATCGCACACACAGTTATTTCTGACTGTATGTCAGTCATTTCCGGATTGCATTTACAGTTTTGTTCCATGTGGTCACAGTGTGTCCCTGACCACCTCTGAAGGTGGTTTGGCCGATCAAGATCACAGTCCGTTCTCAATGTGTCTTAGATGCATTAACACCTGTACTTTCATGTGGTCTAGCACTATCTAAATGTCTCTGTCTCTTGTTTATTGCTAGAAACTAACTTTATGTTTGTTGACAAAATGAGGATATTTATATTTTAAACTGCTAGATTTTACGTTTAAATACTTTACATAATCAATTTTTTTCCTTTCCTTGTTCTAACAAGAAGCTTTGTGTTTTGGAGATGAACGTGAGTGATGAGGGACACAGAGGTTCTGTCTAATAACAGGAGAAGTGGATGCCAACAGGGGCGATCAAACCAAACAAAATGATTGACGGCGGGCCAAATCTGGTTGCCCAGGGCAACTGGCAACCGTTACTGTCAAGCCTTGTGGATGAAGAGAAGACAGAAAGTAGAGTGATGGAAACTAAAGGGAAGCAAAAGAGTCTAGTGTGGCATTTGAAGGACTCGTAGTAGTTTTCAGACTTTACGAGTAAAAAGACCTTCCTGCCTTTTGGTTTTGATCTCTTCCTTTCTGTTACGAGGACAGGATTTGGCCCTGACAACCTTGTGAACAAAGACGTGCACACACACAAAGAGAGAGAACATGCCGGTCATATCTGCCTCTTGCCAAGTGTGTCAGTTGTACTGGAATAGTTGTCATACAGACGTCTTTCCACTGGTGGATTTAAATATAGCTGCTGGTCAAGTTTGAATCTGTTTAAATATTCCTCTGAGGCTCACTTCTTTATGTGTTTTTTTCTTATTCACCAGTTTATCGGTCAGTTCATTTGGTCAGTTCTTTTGTTGCGACCATTTGTTATCACTGTCAGTTGTTAATTCATTTATTGCTCTGTGCATTCATCCATTCATTCATTCATTTGTGGATTCATTAATGTTTGCATATATATGTTAATACATTCAAGTGCTTCAGCTTAAAATTAATTGGTCTGTATTCATTCATTCATTCATTTAATGTTTTGGTTGTTCAGTCATTTCTTAACTCATCTCATCAATTTCCATATACATTCGTTTTTTAATATATTTAACTTTATATTTATTTAATTTATTAATTTGACTGCACATCTATTCACTTGTTCCTTCATTTGTTTATTCATTCATTCATTAAGTAGTCAATTTGTTTAATTGTTATTGTTGTAATCATCCATCCATTTATTCATTCTTTGATTAGTTGGTTCATTCATTCATTCACTCTTATATTCATTAGATAGATGGTTGATTTATTTATACATGTATTGTGTTCATCCATTCATCATTCATGTATTCATTGATCATACATATATCCTTTAGGTAGTTTGTTAATATATTTCTTTACAGTGTTCAGTCATCCATCCATTGGTCCATTATCATAATTCATTCATTTCTTAATTCATTCATTTATCCACGTATCCAGGTGGTTTGTTAATTTTTACATTTATAAAGTTCAGCCTACCGTCTATCCATTCCTCCACCTGAACACTCATTTATTCACACATTCATTAATTTGTTCTTTCATCACTTTATATGTTGCCTTCATCCATTTGTCGTTCGGATGCCTTCACTCATTTGTTTACTATTCAACCATTTACAATATTAATTTGTATATCTAGCAGTCCATTTGTTGACTTGATCGCTCTCTCATCCATCCATCCATCCATCCATCCTTCCATTTATCACCAACTAGCTGATCTTTTATTTATAACCACCTCTCATATCCAGCTGTGGCCTTTGTACAAGGCTACAGCAAA